AGAGAGAGAGAGAGAGAGAGAGAGAGAGAGAGAGAGAGAGAGAGAGAGAGAGAGAGAGAGAGAGAGAGAGAGAGAGAGAGAGAGAGCAAATAAATCTCATATTATTTTCTTTTAATAAAATGGAGATGGATTGTACTTCGTGGTTATTGTGCCTTCATCATTTTGGACATTGTTCGTGACTTGAATGGTGTTCTTCTTTCTTTGTTCTTCGCATTCTTCTTTTCTTACTCATTCTCTCTCTATTTGTGTCTATCTCTCTCCCTCCTCCGTCCCTCTCTCTCTGTCTCTTTCTCTCTCCCTTTTTCTGTCTCTCCATGCGTGTTCTGTTTCTTGAATTCGTTAATAGTGCTGAAATTTAGCAATTGTGTTTTTTTTTTTTCTCTTTTTTTTTTTTGGTGGGCATTGCCCGCACCGCCCGCACCGCGGGTGCTTAGCTAGCATCACTTATATAGCTCAAAATCAAAGGAACCAGGGCTGGGAAACCCTACAATATTTTCAAAGAACTGGGGCCATTACCCATATTTGGCTCCTGGAAACAGGGTCCACTGTCCCTTTGACGTAAAGAAAATTCCCCAAATGAAAAAAAAAGGGTGCATCCAAGCTTCTGTTCATTAAACTTCTTCCTGGCTACAGTACTTCTTGGCTAACGTCGCAGTCACTGTGTAATCTTGGGCATGACAGGACAGTTGTGTCCATCAGGGACTTCACTTTTATTTGTGCCGTACGCGCCCCTTCCAAACAAAATACGTCAGCAACCTACCGGTACGTCTGCGCAGGCGGCCATTGACAAGCACTGCAAAAATTAGTCATGCTCAAGATGCAACAAATGGCACTGTGGCACCCACCTCATTTTGCTCTGTACTCAGTCTACAGTTCCGTTCTGCCACGCAGCCTAACGCAGGTGCCACTTCCAGATGCAAAATCTTTTATGTTTCTAAATTTTCTTTTGTCTTTTTTATGTTTTGCAAAATCAAATCTGAAAACGAATTTGAGAGAAGAACATAGTGTAGTTAAAAAAAAAATCTAATCTGAGCCAAGATCAGGGACACGTTTTAGGTCTCCCAGACGGATACTGTGATGCAAAGATAAGGTAGTTGTCAAGCATGTGGATGAGTTCCTCTACCGTCTTCCCCCGAACATAACGCACCCTAAAAATGAATGTATACAAGCTATATTTCCAGCCAGATACAGCCAAAATGAGGGTGCGTTGTGTTCGGGGGAAGACGGTAGTGGTAGTGTACATGAAGCCACTTCTAGGTGGGAGCATAGGCCCCCGGCGGACTGTGGTCTCCCGCTATGGCGGCTATGTTTTTCTGTCTCGACAGCATGAACCGAGCCGCAAGAGCGGCAAGGTTCTTACTTTCGGCAGTGCCGCCACTGCGGACCTCTCAAACCTGGACGGCCTGGATTCAAATCTCTCGGCAGGAAAGTTTTTTCTACTCCTGTTTTCACGAAGCGTGGATCTTCCACCTGAATCCACCACGCTCAAGCGGCTCAAGGCTTCCCAGCCCCACTTTCCCCTGCTGCATTGGCAATGGCTGACGTTTTTTTTTTTTTTTTTTTTTTGGAAATTTATGGCTGACTTTTGCGAGTGGCCTGGGATATGATTTCTTTCTCGTTTTGTGATTTCTTTTCTGGAACAGGCAAGAGTAGTTGAGTAGTGGAGCGAAGCCCTCAATGATGAGGCCCAATCCAAGCACTGCTGAGAAATACTGCTCTGTGTGAGCTTTCACGTTGTTTTTTCTTTTGAAACCAATTGCAGTTATGTTGCTTCCGAGAGAGCATTTTGATATTCCATGTCATCCTCCAAATGAAAGAATCGGGGTCACGCCCCACTTGCCTGCATTCTTTATTCCGGACCCTCTACAACAGAGACCAGTGAGTCCTTCGGGACATCCGTTAAAATTGGAACGATACAGAGAAGATTAGCGTGGCCCCTGCGCAAGGATGACACGCATAAATCGAGAAATGGTCCAAAAAAAA